CCGTGAGCGGCTGGCGGAGGGGCGGTGCTACCATCCGCGCCCTGCCCGGGAAGACGTCGGCCGCCAGCTCCAGCCTCCTGCGCCGCTGCTACCCGTCCAGCAACGCGCAGGCGCCGTTCCTGCCCGCGGGCCGCATGGAGGACTGCCTGCCGCCCTGCTACCACAGCGCCAAGACCATGGCCAAGCTCATCAAGGTGAGTACGCACGCTCCGGTCACTTGGGGAATGGATCTTGGGCGCTGTTGGACTTTGTCCAGTCGAAATAGACAATTGAGTCAAAAAATCACGGAGTTTTGGAAATTGGCATAATTGTTTATTGGTACCTACTGCACGTTATACTAAAAATCCTGAATTGTGTCAATGTCGTCCCGAGGTAATCTCGGATTCAATCACTTCGGACCCTCACAAGTCTATGTACAAAATAAGGCTTAATAAGATATAAAATGTTCGTCTTTTTAATTATTCAAATATATGTATATATTGTTGATAAATCTTGAACAAAAATAAAATTACTTCCTTGCGTTGAACATGTCATAACATTTTTATAAGGTAGATTTTTATTTTAATAAATGGTTTTGCCGTAAATAAAGACATGAATTTTAGTGTTCATAACTTTAAAAGGTTTAATTTATAACAAACGGTTAATTTTACAACAATTTTTTTAACTTTTGAAAATAATAACTTTTTTGTAGGATCTTTCACTTTTTTTTTTTTTTTAATTTTCCAAGGAGCTAATTTTTGGTAGGAACACTTTTAAACGCGCCCCTCACCTTTTCTCCCAACTCATCCTCACACTTTAGAATTTTTAGTATAATAGGTGGTCGGTACCAACAAGTAATCATGCTAAGTGTCAAAACTTCAGGATTTTTTCCTTAGATCACCAGTATTTGTTCTAATTTTACTGGGCTAAAAGTGAGTGGGTGAATATTGATTCCTGGGCCTGTCTTGAATGAGATACTCTGTAGGTGATGGAGTTCCTCCCCCCCCCCGTTAAATCGTAAGATCCAGCGCGTTGTATTCAACGTTCCCCATCACCCCGGGTACCTCCCTCAACTTGACACCACCTCAACCTGGAAAAGGTCTAAGCTGCATACTGGTCTCCCGAGTTGCGTTAGTGTGTGGAGGTAAGTGTGTGTGTGTGTATGTGTGTGAGTGTGTGTGTGTGTGTGTGTGTGTGTGTGTGTGTGTGTGTGTAGAGGAAGAAGCGGGCAGGAGCTTGGAAGGCGTTGATTTGGTTCTTAGAGTTCTGCTCCGGCATCCTCCTCGTACTCGTCACAGAAACAATGGAAAATTTCCGACCAATGCAGCCGACCGCTAGAATTCTCCCCCGCACAGTGATTGAATCCGATCCAGCTATTTAGCTAGTGTCAAAGCTCCGTACCATCAGCAGTCGAAGCCTAGGACGTCCCCGTCAACATTGTTGCCGCTGAGCCAGGACGTCTGGTGGGAGATTTCCCAGTCATATCAGGTGGCCCGTTTGTTAAGATATTGTTCCAACATTCGCCTGTTGTAGATCGAAGAAACCGGAGAAAACTGCCGATCAGAGCATCCGACCGCTAGAATTCTCCTCCAGACAGTGGCTGAATTCGCCGCAGCTAGTGTCGAAAATCCTACCAACGTTGGCACACGAACCGAAGACCTGCCGGTGAAAGTTTACTTTTGTTGAGATAGGTGTCATCTGGGATTGCTAATAAAGGTTAAACTTGAATTTTACTTTGTTCCTCGCGACTTGATGATGCATCATCCATCAGAATTCTTTTAACTACATTTTAATTGGCTTCCCTGCTTGGTCACTGAAATTTCTGACTCAGCACAAAGAGAGGAATAGTTGATACCAAAATTCTCTGGCGTGTGCATTTGAAGAAATGTTTGACGTCAGCAAGTTCAGATGTGGCACGTGGGACAAGTTGAGCCGTCAGTTCTGTATTAATACTTGATCATTATTCCTTCGGCGGCTGGAAGTCTCATTTCTAGGCGGCAAGCCGACGGCTTTCTTATGTTAGGTTCTGAGATGGAACCAAAAGGTGAGTCGAATTAAAATTATTCACTGTAGCTTTTCAGTTTTGTTATCTTCCATTGAACTATGTGTTTATATTGGTTGTTTTTAATGTTAACTATATACTTCACATTGTTACATTTACTTCATAAGCTCTAACACTCCATATGCTGGGCATTATTACTTCGTCAATTATCCTTTGATATTTTCTACCCACGCTTCATACGTATGTTCCTTCCCTACACGTGTACTCGACTGTCAAAGAAACGAAGAAAATATTTAATTAATCCGTAATATTAATCATGAAATCTTAAAATAATATCATGTCTTCTATATCTTATGTAAGAGAGCATGTGATGTGAACGTTGATGAAAATAAATGTTTCTGCAGAATAATGAAAAAATGATCGTTTTCATGCGTGAATATGAACAATTTAGGTAAATATTCATGTGAATATAATAGATAATTAATACTTGTTTGTTTGGATAAATCAATAATTCGCAAGCATTATGTTCAAATCGGCACGTGGAACATTGTTGAAACCCCCTCGTTAACACTGTAGAGAACTCCCCAATTACTCGCACAGAATCATGCAAGGCTATAATGACTAATTGATGATCCTTTAAATATTTCTTACGTTTTAGTAATTCAGATGTGAATAATGTAGTTATAACAGAAAGTTTAAAATGATATAAAAATGAATAAGGTGAAATAAGATTTACATTTCATCTTTGGACTTTTATTTACATTTCCTCCTTGGAAATGTAAAATAGAATTTTCTTCGTTATTTGAAAAATTGTATTACAACCATCAATACACTAGAATATCTCATCCATATGTACATAATATTTATCATCAGTCATCACAAAATATAAATCGTGAACTCGTGAACGAACGAACAAATAACTCGTGAACGACATTAATTCAGTTTATTTCATCAACTACACATTTAACCTAAATACAAACTTATCTGCCCCCTTCACATCCTTTTCCCTCACCTCCTCGCTGGTCATCATTTTGTATGAAAAAAGGAATGATTTTTCTTATATTTAACATCATGAACTGATATTACTCTATCTGATCTCGAAGAATGCGGTTTGCATATGCCGTTATTAATCAATAAATCCGGGAACGTGAGGGCATCTCATTTTTTCAAATGGAAATATCATTTATCGTCATTAGAGGAAAGGTGGTTAGCGAGCTGTGCAAACTGGTATTATATTACTGATTTTTTACACGTTTAAATAATTAATTCACTTTGCATTTCTTAAAAATCATCTTTCGAAAATAAAATTTTGATCGCTGAAAACACTTCTCATTTTCGTGTGAGTTTTCCAGAGCCAGAATATTTTACTAGAGGTGGGGAGGTGGTACATGCTATTGCGAAATATATACGTCTTTACGATCCGCCACTGAGGCACACCAATTAAAAGCACTAAAGCTAAGCGACATCCCAGATCATAGACCAGATGGGCCAGGCGCTCATTACAGTCGCTTTGTAAAAGGGAATTACTCCCGAACTATTTTCCTAGAATACATTTACCTCTCCACAATCAAGTTTCGAATACATTATACTAAGAGCATTGAAATGTTGCTACTTAACTAAATCTTCTTTATGCAATTTATATAAGCTTTGCCAGAAAATCACTTCTCAAGAATCCCTGGCGATTGTGTGTGGTATATTGCTTATTCTTTTCAAAAGAATTTAAACGATAAATACCGACTCTTTTCTTTCCTTTTATTTGAGCGTAGTAACAATGTATTGGGCAGAATTTCTCTAAATTTCGGTGTTAAAACTTATTATTGGCATGATAGCAGTGTTAATCCTAACGCCCATTCTGACCGCGCATATCAGTATTTGAACTTATTTTCAACAAGTAAAAATTCATAAATCTCCTTATTTTGTGTCGTATTTTTCCAACAGTTGTTTTATAATATGTTTTTGAGTTCATAATTCCAATGGTTTAAGATAGGCTATACTTCAGTAGGCAGTTTAAGAAAAAATAAAAAATATAATATAGACTAGAGAGCAAAACGTTTGGGATACTGTGATTCATTTGCCTTGATTCCCTTTTCAGTCTGTTAGTGTAAAAATAAAAATTAATTTCTTTATTTTAACAGAATATTAATTTCTCTGATTTTACATGTGATTTATATACACAAAACAAACACAGAACTATCCATTATTTTTTTCAGAATACGATAAAGAGTTAAAACAATGCTAATTAAGCGAAATATATTTATCCCTCGGCCCCATAAAATTGAAAGATGTCGTTTACACCACAAACAGCTAATGACAAATGTTTACTTTCAACAAAATAGAAACCATTCCTTTTTCGTCATACGCAAGTTACGTAGACATAATGTTTGTATCAATGTAGAATTCGTTTTTTTACATTGATTTGTTTTAATTTTAAATGCAATTTACTATCAAATATTTAATTTCAGACAGTACATTTTTAATTGTGAAGATCTGGTAATCAAGTTACGGAAAATTATCCCGTCACGAAAATAAAATGCCTTCGAGTACGAATACTTCCTATATAATGAATTCTGAGTGTTATTATTGTACGTGTGGAATATTATGCAAAAACATAATACTCTTATGTAAATAATAAACAATTTACATGTTTCTAGAGTGTTTCTATGCTTCTGTAATGCAAATTTTTGCCTAGAAAACATTTTTTGAAAACAACATTGAAGTGCTGAACCATTCGGAATATGCCAGTTGTTTATTAGACACATTATGCTTAAAATTGTCTGGAGAACTTATTTGCGAAGTTTTGACGTTTCCTCCCCGGACAGCATGTATATTTGTGTGTTGTTTTATCTGCTTGAGACTTTTTTGTTTTTCTGAAACCGAATTGCCTATTGTTATTTTGTCACAGAAAATATAATTTGCGCTGAATGCAAAAAGCTGATTATACAAAATTTTACTTCACCATCTTCTCAGCCTTTGTAGTAGACTCTTCAAAGATCATCAGAGTAATTTCTCCTTCCTCGCTTCAAATAGCTGATTAATCAAGTCATTAAAATAGGAAGTGAAGAATCATTTCCCTTGTTCCCATTAACTTCTTCGTATCGACTGCATATTTGTCTGGTGATGGATTATTATTGAATGAAAAACCTAGTTTTCCTACAAACAAAATGTTTGCCAAAAGTATGCTTTTAATGCTCAGCAGTTTTGTGACTTCTGTTC